ATTAGACAGATGTGCTTGTATAGACATAAAACATTTCAAGAATATATTTCAGCAAGTGTTGATAGGTTAGCTTCTGGGGATGTAGGGGGAGGGGAACGTTTACTTTTCAACTTATACCCTTTGCACAATTTGGACTTTTAGCATGGACAGGCAGAAAATAGCCCAGCTGCCTGAGATCCTGCTCTTATAACAGCCAAATAACCTCAGGCTGTGTTCTCTGCCTTAGTTTCATCATCTACAAAAAGGAAATTCATTCAGGAAACTTTTTGAATATCTACTATGCGGCAGGCACTAGAAATTTAGAATTGAATAAAACATAAAGAATACCAGTCCTCAAAAGGTTTACATTCTAGTCAGAAAAGGTGGATAATTTTTTAAAATTATATATGCACACATGTGTATAATATATAAAGTATATGTCAGATAGTAAAGAATGCTATGGAGAAAAATAAAGCACGAAAGAGGAGAGGGAATGGTGTGGGGTGGCGTATTGTAGGGACTCATTTAGTCCTTACAATAACTCTTAAGAGTCCCTACAATAACTCAGAGTTATTGTGTCAATACATGTAGGACACTTAGAACACTCAATAAATGTGAATTGTTATGATTATTATGAGCATATATTACTTTAAAATGTAAAAGTAAATAACTTTTAAACAAACACATGCCACCAGCGTCCTTTAAAATCTCATGTCTTCAATAGTTTGCAAAACTTAAAAATGGGGATATACTTCTTTTATTTTACGAGTGTAAAATTATGTCGTCCAGCTACACTGGCCTTTTCTCCATTGCCTAAGCACCCGGCTGTCTCCTGCCTGCTGGCCTGTCCCCACATCTTCACCTGCCAAACTCCTCCAATCCTTGGCTCACCACTTAACCTTCCTGATCTGAATTTGGTCTCCTTGTCATATTCTCTCAATATATCCTTTTCTTTCATAGCACTTAACCAAATTTATAAATCAATTGGAGTGGCTTATATGTGAGTATCAACTCTGCTTTTCGAGCCAGACTCCTCCCCGAGGACAACCTAGGTGGGGAAATGTGAAGGACAGGAGAGAAGGGTAGGCATAGCATGGGCGAAGAGTGGAGAGTTTTCACTGCTGCTACGTGGAAGGGGAAGCAGCTGAGAAGGGATTTAGAGCAAGAATGATGTATAGGGATTTTTATATTGTTCGCCGAGAATGAGCAAACATTTTATCCTTAAGTTGTAGTAATAACCTCCAGAAACTCTCTGAGGTCGCTTGGGAGCTCAGGGTGAGGTTCTTTTGAAACAGGTGAGATTCTTCAGCTATGGATGAAGGGGTGTGTGTGTGTGTGTGTGTGTGTTGCATACTGATCTGTTAAGGTTTGAAAGGACTGATAGCATTGCCAAGGATGTGAGAAAAAGTAAGGGCGTGCAAAGTTAATGGGAAGTTAAATTGGTGCAATTTCTCTGAAAGAGAAATTGTATAATATGGATAATATATTTTATGTTTGATCAAGGAATCCCCATTTCTAGGAACATAACTTAAGGAGTTAACAGAATGACAACCGAGTAAGTGGTTACAAACATGTATACAAAAGCATTTATTTTATTATTGTTTATACTAATAGAAATTAGAAGCTATCTGGCTGGTTAAATAAATTACATTATATATGTGCTATTGAACTCTCTGCAGCCTTGAAAAACATGATGAAATTGACATATTTATTAACAGAGATGCTCCCTGCATATTATTGCATTAAAAAAAGATGATGAAACACATGTAGAATATGATCCAATTTGTAGAGAATTATATAACTATATCTATACATATCAGCATATAATTATAGAAAATCTACAAGTATAGAAAGAAGTCTGGAAAGATATAACAAAATATTAACAGTGATTTTAACCAGTTATGAAATTTTGCTGTTTTGTGTCCTTTTTTGCGTTCTATATTTCTTGAATTTTTAGAATAAGAATTTATCATTGTTACAAAAATAATAAAACTATCTAAAATAGTATTTAATAGGTCAAAAGGGAACAAGGCACTCTGGAGTTCAGTCCCTTCCAAAATCAATACTTGTATGCTTTGCCTTGAGTATGATATTTCTCTACTGTGCTGTAACTTTTCTCACTGTACTCCTGAAGAATCGCTCTATACCACTAGATACAGTGATTAAAAATTCTCCACCGTCATCTCTCCAGCAAGATGCCGGAAGTATATAAAAGATCCTATGATGCAGTATAAATTAGTTGTCCTTATAATAATCTCTCATCATGTCTTCTACTTCTCTGTCACAGCACTTAACCAAATTTATAACTCTAAGTCAATTGAAGTAGTTATTTGTGAGTATCAACTCTGCTTTTCACAGTAGTATGCTGTAAAAATGGCAATAAATTTTTCCATCCCTATATGTTCACCTCTTTGAATGTGACTTTTCAAGCCCTCCCATCAAGAGATGAAGTGTATTTCATGGCATGACCACGTGACTTACTTTGGCCAATAGGACATTAACAAACGACACACGCAGAGTCTTGAAAAGAGCTTGCACATTGGGTCTTGCTCTCTTACTGCGCTTGAAACTCTGAGACCATCACATAAATGAGTCTAAACTAGCCTACTGGAAAATGAGAGGCCACCTGGGGACCCCAATCAATAGCCTGTCAACTGTCAGACATCTGAGCCAGGCCATCCTAGATCATCTAACTTGCAGTCAACACACCACTGACCACAGTCACATAAGGCAGCCCAGCAGAGATCAGCCAAGCTGCCCCAGACCAGAAGAACCACCCAGTCAACCTACAGAATTGTGGGCTAAAAGTGGTTGTTGTTTTGAGCCATTACATCTTGGGGTGGTTTGTTACTCAGCAAAAGCTAACTGGTACAGATCTTTTTTTATTGAAAGGTTATCTAAATTAAGACCATAAGAACCTTACATTCTTAATTATAATTAGTTTTTTTTTTTTTTTTTTTTTGCTTAATTAGTTTTCTATCTAACAATATTCTTTAAAGTAAGTACACAGGCAAAGAAGACCTCCACTACTGGACAATCAGAGTATGAACAAGATCTACATTTGCAGAAAATATCTAAGTTCCAGAAAGCTAGACAGTTCCTGGCAATGTCCTTTTATCAGAAGTTAGTCCCTCCAGTGTCTAAGCAGCATTAAGACCCTTATTTTAGGATTCATCCTGAATGTATGGAGAAACTCTAAAGGGTAAATGAACCCACCAAATCTGCATATAGGGTTAGATGTGCTCAGAGGGCATTTCCCTGAGAGCCATTACTATAACTCAGTCTCCTCTCAAGTAGAGTGGAGAGTTGTGGCTTTCTCCTATGTAGTGACACTCCATTTTACCCTAAGATGATCCCTTCAGACCTTAAGATGCTACCAGTTTCCAGAAGCCTACCCGTGGAAGTAGCTTTCACCGAGACCCCATTTAGTAAGTGATCTGCATATGAATATGTCTGTCCAGCTTCCAGAATAGAAGAAACCCCATTGGATCTGGGATGCATCAGATCAGAAATCACTGAAAACTGAAAAAAGCTGTAAAATTCTAGGAAAACATGACCCCCCCCCTAGAACTCTGAAGAAATGACATCACTTATGAAAGAAGAATAACCCCACAGTCAAACTCTAACTTAGTTTGCCTGGAGCTAATGTGACTAAGGTCCTTAATCTCAGTCTCTGGAGTCACTGACAAATAAGTTATGTTTAGTTCTCTTACTTGGGGAAACAATCTGGCGTTCTTTTGTAAAGATGAATGTGTGCACACCTCACATCCTAGCACCACACTCTGGGCTTATACCTTCAAGGAATTTGTACCTGCACACCAGGTTAAACAGTGTCCTTAACCATCTTGTTTGAAACCACTGGAAACCCAAATGTCTATCAACAGGAGAATGAATTTTTTAATTGTGAAATATTCACACAAAGGAATATTTTACAATGGTGAAAATGAATGAAATACAGTAACAAACAACAATATGAATGAGTTCAGAAGCATAATGACTTAAAAAAGCAAATCTTACAAGACTACATATAGTATGATATATTTTTATAAAGGTCAAAAAAAACTAAAGTTTATTAAAGGAGATATATATGTGGGGAAAATAAAAAAGATGAGGGAACATAAAACCAAAATTCAGGATAGTAGTTACTTCTGGAGTTGGAGCTGGAGCTGGGGATAAGCCTCAGGAAACTTTGTGAGCATGAATTATGGTCTAGTTCCCTAACTGAGTGGTGAGCTAATAGCTTACAGATATGTATATATATATATTTAGTATATATTAATTGTTGCATAATTAAATTTTAACAGTGAGTAGGAATAAGTAGAGAAAATGAATATGCTCAAAAGTAATGAAATAAAAGAAATGAATATTAAAATAACTGAGTTCTTAATGCTATCAAGTTGGTAAAGAAGAAAAACTTGTGATGATGGTAGGGGGAAAACTCTCATACACTACTGATAAGAGAATAAATGGATTTTAAAAACTCTTGGAAAGCAATTTAGAAATACATGTGAGAATCCTAACAATGATCTCTCATCCAGCAATTCTCTTTCTAGGAATTCATTTTAAGGAAGTAATGACAGATGTGCTGAAAGGTATAAGTAAAAAGAGGCTCATCTTAACAACAATGTTCATAATAGCCAAAAGTTAGAAACAACCTATGTGTTCAACAATAGGGGATTGGTTAAATAAATTCCATCAGTGGAATTCGTATAATCATTTATCTGTTACATTCATTTATTGAGGGCCCACAATGTGCCAAATGCTATTTTGGGGACTAGAAAATAAGCCAGACATCCTGGGGAAGAGCCTTCCAAGCAGAGAAAGCAGCAGTTGCCAAACCCTGAGGCGGCAGGTTGCCTGCGGGTCTGAGAAATGGCAAGGAGGCCAGTAGGCTGGAGAGGAGAAGCACATGGTATATAGGGCCTTGTAGGCCATTATAAGGAGTGGGTTTCTACTCTGAGATGGGAGCTTTAGAAAGTTTTGAGCAGAAAAAAAGACAAAATCTGCCTTATTTTCTATAGGTTTACCCCGGCTGAGCATTAGACAGTGAATGGGCAGGTGGAAGCAAAGAAACCAGGTAGGAGGCTTTTGCGATGTCTCAGGTGAGAGGTGATGGTGCCATAGATAAAGGTGGGTGGCAGTGGAGGTGTAACAGGTGATCAATTCTGGATATATTTTGAAGATAAAGCTAACAAGATTTTCTTACGAATTGGATATAAGGAGTAGGAGAGAAAAGAGTCGAGATTTTAGTCCTGATCAACCGGAAGGATGGGGTTACCATTAGCTGAGATGAGGAAGATTCTGGGAGACACATGTTGGGTAGTGGTGGGGAAATCAGGTGTTTTGGACCTGGTAAACTTGAGCTGCCAATTAAATATGTACATAGAGAGGTCATGTATGCAGCTGGATATATAAGTCTGAAGTTCAAGGATGAAATCTGGACTGGAAGAATTTGGAAGTCACTGATATACGGATGGTGCTTATAGACATGATACTGGATGAGATCATGAAGGGAATGACAACAGAATGGGTTGGAGAGAGAAGAGAAAGGAAGAGAAAGAAAGAAAGATTCAATGACCGAGTCTTGGGAACTGCTAGATTTAGAGCTCAAGGGCACAAGGAGAAAAATCAATCAAGGGGACAGAGAAGGAGCCACCAAAGGGAAAGGGAAAAAAATACCCAGGAGAGTTGGTGTCCTGGAAGCCAAGAGAAGAAATGTTCCTAGGAGGGGAGAGTGGTCGGAGGTCTACCAAATGTTGGTAGATGAAATTTGATTTGGATAGAGAAATTACTACTGGACTGAGCAAGAGCAGTTTTGGTAGAGTCATGGGGCTAAAAGTCAGCTTGGGAGTGGATTCAACAGAGAAGGGAAAAGGTAGATTTAGAGACTGATTATAGACAAGATTTTCAAGGGCTTTTGCTATAAAGGGGAGAGGGAAGTTTTGCTTAAGACTCCTTTGGTTGGGAACCATTACTTGTTTTTTCCCCCCTATTTTTTTTTTTAAGATAGGAGAAATAATAGCACGTGTGAAAATTAATAGGAATGATTCAGTAAAGGAGAAAAAGTGATGACTTGAGAGAGAGGGAATACCTGCTGAATCTACATCAAGGTAAGAAGGGATGCGCCTAAAGCAGGTGGTCAAAGCGAAAGGGTTGGCATTAGAGATTAGCCAGGGCGGTTCGTCCACTTTCCCATTAAAATGATGTCATACAAGACCATTTAATAATGTAGAATGATATCCGGTTAAGTTTTTAAAAAACATCATAAAACAGTAACAAGCATAACATTTATTAAGCACGATGCTTAATTCAATGCTAAAGCGCTATACATTTTGCAAGCATTATTTAAGCATTGTCTTGCTTAATCCTCTCACTGACCATAAAAGCCAAGAACCAAATTATCCTCATTTTCCAGATGTAAAACGGAGGCGAAGAGTGGTGAATATCTTGCCCCAGATAATGTAGCTGGAAGGGTAACTAGTACTCAACTGCAGGTGCCAGACTTGCTCGGACATTACCTCCAGGCCAACACTGTCCCACAGAAACATAATGATGTCACATACTAGATTTAAAAATGTCCAGTAGGCACATTAAAAAATAAAAATAAAAAAACAGGTTAAATTACTTTTAATAATACATTTTATTTAGATAACATCTAAAACATCATTTCAACATGTGTCAGTATTTTATCAGTATAAAATATTGAGATGTTTGACATTCTTTTTTCTGTATAGCTGTTCCTCAAATAATGTCATTTCATTGAACATTGTTTTGTTTATGCCACTGATGACCACTGTCTGTGTGGAGATGGCACGTTCTCCCCATGTCTGTGTGGGTTTTCTCCGGGTTCTCAGGTTTCCGCTCACATCCCGAAGCTGTGCACATGAGGTGAGCTGGCCTGTCTACATTGTCCCAGTAGGAGTGAGTGGCCCTGAGACAGAAGAGGGCGTCCTCTGCCGGGCGGGCGTCCACCTGTACCCTGGGCTGCTGGGATAGGTTCTAGCCACCTGCCACCCTGATCTAGAATAGTGGGTTGGAAAATCATTATCTGAGTGGTTTTTATTAGTCTTTCTTAAATGTATGCATAGCTCACATTTATTTCAATGTTTAATATTAAAAGTGTTTTGGGTCTTTATTTAGAGGTTCGGTGATGTCTTTGTGACCAGAAATATGCTATAGGAACTTAACTCTTGTTTATATCAATTAGCCTGTGGTAAAACTGGCTTTGTAATACAGCATTTGCTTAAAGTCACAGTTTCCAAGAACCTATCAACAATGTTGAGTGAGGACTTAGTGTACTGAGTCTTCCACATCTGGCCTGACACTTTATGGCACATCTCAATTCAGATGCTAAATCTTCATCGGAAATACATGATCTCTATTTAGAATTCATAAAACTTACAGTCAAGAAAGTAAATTCACATACTGAAGGTTTTCCAGAGTTAATAGTTTTTCATTTTTTCTTAAATTTTTTATTTTTTAAATTACAGGCGACATTTAGTATTCTGTGAATTTCAGATGTATGGCATACTAGTTTTTCAATAATTAAATTGAGTATCTACTTAGACTTTAAATTAATTAAAATTAAAATCAAAATTTCATTTCCTCAGCTGCACTAGCCACATCTCAAGTGCTCAAACCCGCATGTGGCTGGTGGCAACCGTGCCCAGATACCACAACACCAGACTTAACTACCATGTGCTCCTGCTTCTCTTTGCCAAGTTCTATCAACTTTTTCCTCAGAATAACTTTCACAGCTACTCTTTCTTCCTTTTCAATTCAACCGACTTTAACCACCATTAAATTCTTAATTTTTTTACTGCTATAAGACCATGTTAATTATACTTACAAAAAATCTAATTATAGCAGCTAACATTTGTTGAGTACTTACTATGCATCAAGAATTAACATGAACTCTATTAATATTCTCATCTTGATGATGAAATCGAGGCACAAGGAGATTAAATAATAATCTATTATTCTTTACCTCCTCTGATAGTAAATGAAAACAGTCCATCTTGCTATCCTATAAGTACTTCATGATAAGTGGAGAATTTTAATTTTCTCTTTTCGCCAGATATGGCAGGATGTTTTAAACATTCAACTTTGATGGTTCCCAAGCAAAGGAGTCATTTAAATCTTATGTTTTTGGTAAGGTATTTCCTGAAAGCTCAAGGGTCCTGACTGTTTTCTAGATCATTTCCCCGTGGAATCCAAACCTTGGATAATGTGTTAGGACAAATACAGAAAGAACTGTACAGTCTGGAAGCTATAATCACACCGGGAGGGAGAGTGCCAAAGTCTCAGGATTTTTTTCCACCTAGTACACTGGCTGATCCCAGGGAAGTCAGAACTATGAAAGGCAATCACTCTTTTTCCAAAGATGGTCTTTCTGCATCCTGGCTAGTAGCTCCTACCCTTCCCCCATTCTAAAATCCTGACGAAAATCCTCAGCTTGCCCTTCTCCATCACCCTGCACTTCCAGTCAGTTGCCAAATCTTCTAAACGCTACCGTAGGCATATTTTTCATATCTATGCCTTTCCACTTACCCCGATGTCTCCATCCCAGTGCATTCCCTTGGTTAGCCTTCTCCTTGACCTCAGTAAAATTTTCTGAACTGGTCTCCTCGCCCGCATCTCTCTGCTCTCAGCTTCTCGCATACCTCAACCATGTTTACTTCATACTCATGCTAATCCATCCTGAGCAGGCCACCCTCTGTGCCAGAAATCCTTCAAGGATTCCCTACTTAGTGTCTGACTTTCCAACCTTCATTTCTAGTATAACCCACACCTCCACTGCATTTCAGCCACCTGATCTACTTGTAATTCCCACAGTCTTTTACATTTTCTACCTGTGGACCTTTCCATAGGCTCCTCTCTCTTTTTAAAAAGCACCCATCCTCCATCTCTGCCCATCGAAATTCTACTGATTATTCTAGAAGCAAGTCAAGTGCTAACTGTTTAAATACGTTTTCTTCCTTTCCTGTCAACTTTTATATTGACACTCCTGCATTGTTTCACACTTGTTAACCTTATGTCATCATTTATATGTCATTATTTTTGTACTTAACTTTTCTGCCTAACAATATTTCTTAAGCACCAATGACATGTCAAGGGTATGAACTAGGCAACTGTGTTATCTAATTTAATTTAATTCTCATAACAGCCTTATGAGGTAGGCATTGCCATCCTCATTTTACAGATCAGGAATCTGAGGCTGTCAGAAATTAATTAACTTGCTCAATGTAGCATCCTTACTAAGTAGCAGAGTCATCACACATTCAACAAGTTTTATTCCAGTCTACATCTGCCATATTCCTCAGCCCTACAGGCTTTTCAATATAGATTTGAAGTCCCGTTAGGACAATTAGCACTGGAGTCTCAGGAAAGGGCAGATGTTTTCTGCCCCTCTCTCATTAGATTTAGATTTATAGTGCTATAGGAAATGTTCTTTGGCTCTCAGTGAACACTTCGCCCAGGCTAGCACAGGGCTCAAGAAATGATTCACAAAGTCAAACACCATGCAGGTTGTTTAGTTCCACTGCTGACCCTGATGATTGGAAAACTGTGAAAGGAATGCCAAGCCCAGCTCATGTTTAGCCATCTGGGACTCCCTGTTCTCTGCCACCAGTTTAGGCTGCACCTCTCTGTTCCCTGATTAGATCCTGAAGGATGCCTCAAATTTCAGAAACAAGGCTGGAACAGCATTGTTGTCATTAAGGTCGGCCTTGGTCTGATAAGGATCCCTGTCTTTAACACAACAGACTCACAAGAAATTCATATGAAGATTAAAAACAGAGAAGGCCTAGTCTACCCTGAATTGGTTTTTCACCATTTAGGGTTGGAAGCCCCAAAACTTGTTGGGTCAGTTCATATTGCCAAATGAAGAATATTATAATGGGTTTATTCTCTTCCTTATTGTTTTGGAGTCGAGGGTGTTCAGCAGCCAATGTTTGCTCAAGGAGAGTGTAAACAGGACTTGCTGACGCCTGTGGCCAATGAGCAAGAGTCCTAAGACACTTTCACTCAGACATGGCATATGGATCTAGTGGTAAGAAGCTTAATGGGAAAGGGGGTTAGGTAACTCTGTTTTTTTTAATTTGTATTTTCTCTTTCAATCTTCAAAGCAATTCTTTTTTGAGGTAGGTGTTATTGAAATGCCTATTCTATAGATCCAAAAACTGGGTGGTGAGTAATAGGCAGAGTCTGGAACCCTGGTATGCTGAGTTCCACAGCTTTCCACAGCCCTTAGCTCATGCTCTGTGGCAAGACCTTTTGCATAGGCAAATGTCAATCATTTAAAAAGCACTAAAGGCAAAATTTATATACGAGTTAGAGTTCTCAAGTATCAATATTATTCCCCCCCACCAACCAAGAATGATACGAAGTTTTAAATTTCTTAAATGTCTCCCATTTTCCATTGTTGACAAAGGTCTCTGCAAGAAGTAGTGGTTGAACGGTAAGATTCTTATCTTCCACGTGGGAGACTCCCCTGGTGGAGTCTTCAGTGAGTGGGCTTGTTTGAACTTTTTATCTTGGTTGATTAGAGACCACAAGCCACCAATACCAGTAAGCCACAGTCTCTTGACAAAATCATCCTGTTCCCAAGCCATCTTTAAACATCATAGAGTGGCTGGGTGCGCTGGGTGGAAATGTAGGTGGCCCAGGGCAGGTAGTCATTGGGACTGATAAAAGTTACCAAAAGTCCCACTGACTGGGGTCACTTACTGTGTCATATTCATGAATGAAGTCAAACATCTTTATTCACACAAAAATTCATTCCTCTCCCCCTTCTCATTTCTTCATGATCTGTTATGTTTTAGACAGTCTAATGGTTAGAACGCCTTCATAATAATATATTTCCATGTAGGATGGGGTTATTATTGCTAACCAGTTAACACTGACAAATTATAAAAAATATTCCAACCTCTCAAAACCTTATCCAAGTATGACATTTGGGATTACTTTTACAGAGCTAGACTCTTGATGTATTCTCAAGTCTTTCATATTTCATAGAGATGGCAAAACAACTTTTATTTTGCCTTCCCTAATGCAGTTCTTGTAAATATTTGTTGTTGCTTCTGCCATATGGTTAAAAAAATGAGGAAAATCAATTATTATTTCACTACTATAGAGACTGCTGAGTTTTGTTACTCCTTGATACCTTTTTGTGGCCCTCCAAAAAGAAAGAATGTTGAAAAGGCATTTTTGGGGGAGGGGGGCTGGACGACATTCATTACCTATTGTCTGAATTATGTTCTTAACATTTTAGAAATACCTTGAAAAAGACTTATGACATATGTTAGCAGAGGTCCAGAGAAGGAAAGTAGAGATTGGCGGAAAGAGATTACAGAACTCAAAGTCCGATCAAAGGTGGGTCATGTGCGGTCAGGTACACTTAAGTAAAGCACATGGGGGAGGCAAAGCTATAAAGAGGATCCGCTCTCAGCAGCTGGCAAGGTAACTGGATGTTTAACACGGAAGGGGGAGAGAGAGGTGATGGGCTCTTTCAGTGCCTCTGGCACATCTACCCGCACACTCCTTTTTTGAAGCCACGATAAAACCGCTTCGCTGCTTTCCCCTGGCTCTCCTAGCTCCTTTCTCACCTCACTTTCTATTTTGCCATCTGTACATAATATTTTGTTTTCAGCCACTTTTAAGGTAATTTCATCACAGTTAGAAAACAACCCAGGTTTTCTTCTTCCCTTATTCCCGAACCAGGGACCCAACTCCTTCCTGGGCTCCTTGAAGCTGGGATCTTTCTCCCTGAGCCCTGCAGCCCAAACTGTGAGGATGAGCTATTTTGTGAGTCTTGGCTTCTCCATGACGCCGGTTTGCCCCTCCCCACCCCCCATCCCCGAAGAAACCTAAACTCCGTGGCCTCTGAAACTAAACTGCCTGTGCCTAGGTCCCCAAGGTCTTCACCGAAATCCAATATTTTTCGGAGTAACGTGGGGTCGGGTCGGAGAAAACAGTACCTCTTTACAGGCGTGAAGCTCCGGTCCCGCTCCCTGGGTCACCTGGAAGGCGGTCCCAACCCAGAGCAGCAGCCGCAGAAGCCGGAGTGTGCGCCGCTCAGTTCTTCCCCTGCCTCGGGGAGAGGGATGGAGGCTGCGCCCAGGCTCAGCCATAGCGTTGTCCAGAGCGAGCGGCAGCAGCGGCTCAGGTGCTGCGGCTGCCGCTACCACTAGCAGAAGGCGGAAAAAAAATGAGAGGGAGGTTCACAGGGGGAGGATGCAAGGGGCTGGGCTCGCTTCAGTCACCTCCCTGCGGCGACGCCAAAGCCGCCCATCCTTCCTCCTCCCTCCTTCCTTCTCCTCCTACCCACGTCGCCTTCACCCGCCTC